CATTATGATGTGAAAATCAAAAGTAGTGTACTTGAAGCAGGTGATCTTGTTTTGGTTAAGATTGTTGCTTTTGATGGTCGCCATAAGTTAGCAGACAAATGAGAAAATGATACTTTTATCATTATCAATCAACCAAGTAAAGACATCCCTGTATACAAAGTTCAAAAACAGAATGAGGAAGGAAAGACAAGTGAGGACGTATGTAATAGTGATTAGTTTTATGTTGTTTTAATTATTATAATATTCAAATGTACAATTTATTACTTATTCATTATGAATATGCCACAACTGATTTTAAACTCTGAAGTGAATTTAATGTATTAAATCTGTGTGTCAATTAATATTGACCAAAACAAGTAATTTAAACTCAAACATTGAAACCTTTCATTTAAATAATTTAGCAAATAAAATACTTTTAAAAAAATTAAATAAAACAAACTATTAAATGAAATAAAATAAACAACCAGCTAAAACTCTAGATCCATTCCTTTTCTATTTCTACACCTGTAATAAGCTACCTGAGTAGAATTAGATTTCCTTAAATCCTATTGGTCAAGACTTTTACCTCCAAATTCTGGACAACAGACAAAGACATTATTCAGCTTATTGATTCCAGACTGGAAAGACACACTTCTAAGATTCCTACATATCTTACAAACTTAATTTAAATGTGACCTGGTTACCAGCACTAATCTGTATGTAACTTATTTACTTCTTATTAATGAAATATATTTCAAAGTGTGTGATTTATCTGAAATTAATAAACTAAGGAAATATTGAGTGTGTAAGATTTGAGAGTGAATGATATTATTTTATTATAGTTAAAACAATGATACTGTACCAGTGATGAAATTCAAAGGAACCAGGCACTCTGTCCCATAAACAGGTACATTTCATATTTTTTTTACAAATGTACTTATCATTTTTATATATCCCTAATTAAGAAGTGGACGTAGAATTCACTTAATGATTGTAATAATGAATGTTAAACACTTCAATATATGTTTCAAGGGAATATATATGAATTGTATAATTATAAATGTAGATTTCTATAAAATGCTGTGAAAAGAGGAATAACTCTTTCAAAGTATGCATAGTAAGAATGTATTGTGATTTTATGAATACATTGTATATTTAAAGAATTGTTATTTTGATTATATAAAATTGTACTGATAGTATTTATATGTATATTTACAGGGTATTATATTATCTCTTGATAAAACCAACAATAAAATCATCAAATGAACCCGCAGGTGTCATGTACTTATTAAAGAATCCGTCAGGATACACACTTGACCCCTGTTACATTAATTCTCGTCCTAACAAACAAAGGAAGCATTTTATTGTTTATATTTACCTCTGTATCAAAAACCATTCAAAATAAAATAAAATTGTTAGATATTGTTTTTAAGATGAATATCTCATTGTATGTAAAACTGATGGAAAGGCCATTGTTTAAGAGCACGTGGCTTGCTCAGTGTTGTTCATGAACTGATTAATGGCAATGGTCTTCACAAGAAATAAAGGAAAACATATTCAGTGGATGTAAATATATTTAGATATTGTACTAGACCCAATTTTGTAAGGTAATGCGATCTTAACTTTCATTTTAAAATATTGTCAATTTGAAGCCATTTTTTGGAGGAAAAATTGTCTTATTGGCTTCACTGAAATTAAATTATTATAAGGAATGAAGCTTATTTTAACCTATGTTACACAATATAACATAACATGGCGCAGTTTAAGCTTTTTTTAAATAAATTGCTTCGCTGTACTTAATAAAGCATAAATTACATGTACCCCATGTTATATTGTATAACACAGGTTAAAAAAGCCTTATTCTTTAAATGGAACAGAGATCTTCTAAACTTTTAGTGATAAACTACAGGGTTCTGTAGATAAGTGTTAGATAACGGGAACATTTGTGAAAAGGGCCACTGACCACTTCAACTTTGGATAGACACATTCAAATGAAATAAGTCGCAGTGGTTAGAGCATCTGCTCCAGAATCGCGAACACTATAGGACATTCATTCTCTTTAAACAGTGAACTGTTAAAGAGGCTGGGGGATTGTGGCCATTTTCAGACTATTTAATTTGACCTCCTTTAAAAGAAGAGCTCCATAGAAAGATATACAAAAATGATCAAATTTTAAAACTAGAATGTATGAAATTTTTCTTTGCCGAATGATAGTTGACAGCTTGATAGTTGATATCTAAAAAATAAGTTAAATCTGGTGGTTAATTTGCTGACCACCCCCCCCCCCCCCCCCAGCCTCCTTAAATAAGTAAGCGTGCGGGCTTTTGCTTACATCCACGTCTCTTCCATAGAACCGGTAACGGCCTACGATAATAAATAATTCAACTTATATGTGTACATTGTACATCATTTATAGGTATCTTTCATGTATTAATCAATTTAATGCAACTTCGATTCGCTAGCCAAGGGTTTCTGATACGCTACTGTTTTTGAGTCCTAGGCAACAGGAAAGATAACTCCAAAAAGGAACTTTGATACCAAAGATTTTGAAAATATTTTTTCTACATCAATGCATTTAATTTTAATTCAATTTTTTGATGTAATATAATTCATTGATGCCTTTACTATACAAAAGGAGTTTTCCTTGATTTTTCTCTAGATGTATTTTTGAGAAAATGAGTTTTATTAATTTTTTTTATAAATTAGATAAATTTCTCTAAAAAATATGTCGATTGATAAAATTAAGTTTTTATGGTTATTCTATGAGCTACGATATGTTAAAACAAAATTTGTTGTGCTAGGTATGAAAAAGCCTTGGGAAAAATATCTTGAAACTTGTGAAATTATCATTTCAAAAAATCAGTATAAATTATATTTTAATTCCTGGTCAGTTTTTAAAGGTTGATATGCTTGTTAAAAGTAATGCTCAGTCACATGAGAACATATGTACTATACAAAAGGAGTTTTCCTTGATTTTTCTCTATATGTATTTTTGAGAAAATGAGTTTTATTAATTTTTTATAAATTAGATAAATTTCTCTAAAAAATATGTCGATTGATAAAATTAAGTTTTCATGGTTATTCTATGAGCTACGATATGTTAAAACAAAATTTGTTGTGCTAGGTATAAAAAGAAATATATCTTGAAACTTGTGAAATTATTATTTTTCATTCCTGGTCAGTTTTTGGTTATTCTATGAAAATGAGTTTTATTAATTTTTTTATAAATTAGCTAGTTTTCATGGTTATTCTACGATATGTTAAAACAAAATTTGTTGTGCTAGGTATAAAAAGCCTTGGGAAAAATATCTTGAAACTTGTGAAATTATTATTTTAAAAAATCAGTATAAATTATATTTTAATTCCTGGTCAGTTTTTAAAGGTTGATATGCTTGTTAAAAGTAATGCTCAGTCACATGAGAACATACATGTAATTTGTGTGTGTGTGTGGAGGACCCTTAATGGCAATGGTATTCAGAAAAAATAAGGGGGAAAATATTCAATGGATGTAAAAATTAAAGAATCAAATAATTAAAATCGCATTGTTATAAAAATTTGCTCCAGTTTCGTCTGTAACGTATTCTTCGTATACGTTCAGTTAAAAAATTTTAGTATCCCAAATGCAATCAAATCGTCACTTTCAAATCTACATTTTATATGATGTACAATGATGTACATGTAGCAATATGCGTACACGTCTGTACCATTATTTGATAAAGCAAGCTGGGCGCAAAAAAATTGATTCATTATGTTTAGTCAATTTACAACTTGAAGCCAAAATTACTGAAATACAAATAGGGATAAGAAAGACAACTCTCTCCTTATCATGACAAGCACAACGTTTTCATAATATGTCTTTATCCTAGATAAAATTACAAATGGTAAAAATACATTCTGAAGCCCACTCCTTTAATGGGAAATGAAATAAATAAATAAATAAATGACGGAATATTTTAAAGTACACCCCCCTCCCATTTGTAAACAATCACAATCATTGTGAAGTTTAACATGATCTGCATCCTCCGCCAGCCCCCTCGAACTGACCTCTTACCTATACCACAAATTTTCTTATATCCCACATGGAGGTGTTTTTCTGCTACTTTTTATTTTATTTTTTTCAATGAAAATGTATTTGAGAAAAATTTGTTGAACAAGTTAAAGTGCACTCGCCCAAATAATTCCCTAGAAAACTGCAATATGAAAACATATTTCTGAAACTTTTCAAAAAATAAATCGTAAACTTGCATTTTCACAAAATTTTGTGTCTTCGCCCAACACTAGAATGTTTAATAAAACAAATATCACTTCTGAAATGAGATGCACGTCATTTAGACCAAAAAAAAAATAATTTAGGAGGAGAAATATTTGTATTTCCCTAAAGCGATCCAAAGGCCTGCCAGTTCATTGTCGCTATATAGCTCATCTTCATGAACACCAAATTATTCTACATGTCGGTTATAACGTACTTATTAAATCATGTAAATAGGCTTTGTTTTCATTAATTAAATAAAAATTGTTGCTTTAAAATGAAATATTTATTATAGACCCATCTTGCAACAATGGACGCATACCACAAAAAAGTACATGACCGTTGGTCAATTCAATAATAACATGGCGCCTTTTTTTACTGTCAAGAATTTTTAATCCCCCCCCCCGGAAAAAAAAATAAATGAAATTGCTTCTACGGGCCTACAATGCTTAAAAAAACAATCACTTATTTTGCCTAGTATGCACTTCAGAAATGTTTTCCCGTCAAAACAAGACGCATTTATACAATCTAGGTCAGCGATAATGTTGTTTTTGATGATTCAACTTGTTTAAAGGTTACGAGCTATTTATAGATATGGGATTTCCCTATGTTTACTTTCGTTTTACATAACTGCGTCTCTCTTTTTTCTCCGAAATGAAAACGTTTTCGTCAAAAACACAATTATGCAAGTCAAAATAGAGAACAGAATTGGCGTCAAGTCAAAATACAGCTTCATAAAGCTTCCCTTCACATAAAAACAGGAGAAAAAAGATTTTCTTAATGAACTGGTTTAATTTCGAACCAAACCAATTATTGTGATGTTAATTTAACACAATATACAGAGTACTTCTCACAACAAAATTATTTCTATCAAACACAATCGTACTAATGAGCAACTACTATGACAAATACTGAAAATTACAAAAGTTTTACTAATTTGCTAAAGAAGTATTAAGGTAATGATCCATAATGATCCAATAAACTGTTCAATGTCACCGGTTGCAAATTGCTATTATGTCACTTTGTATAGAATATGGCACAAAACATCAAAATACAGAACATTCACTGTTGCTCACGCATGCAGACGTCACGTGATAATTACTTCTCTTCCTCCTCCTCCCTGGGTGGGGCCATGATGGTCAGGTGGCCCTGGGGGTCGCGGCAGACTTGGACCTGACTGCAGTCCATGTCCTCAGGCACGGTGAACTCCCGACAGAAGCTGCGCCTCACTCTGATCCCGTCCTCTTCGCGATCGTGGTCCGCGCTGACGGAAATGACGTTGCCCTTGCGTTTGACGTTAATGTGATCGGGCTCGAACACGGACAGGTCCAGATTCTCCTTGAAGGCCTGTCCTGTCTCCGCCACCTGCATTTCTTCATCCTTCCCCTGGGTAATGGCCGGCACGTCCTGGACCTTCACCTCCACTTCACGCTCCTCTTCCCGGGGCAAGAATGGCGCCTCAACGACGTAATGGTTGTCGTGGTCCATGAAGCAGTGCAGTTTACTCTGGTCCACCCCCTGGGGAATCCTGAGGGTCCGTCTAGACTCGCGGACGTCTCTGTTATCCTCGTCCCCCCTCTCGTGTCTGGCGTTTATCTGCACCGTACCGTCCTGCACGGCGACCTTAACTTCGTCGGGGTGGTACCCGTCCATTCGGAATGACTTGTGCCATTTCTCTGGGGCCTCCCTCCTTCTAGGTTGTTGGTAGCCGACGGGCATTCCAAGCTCATCGTGTAACATGTACGACAGAAGATCTCTAAAAGGCGTAGCCTGTTGGTAGCCCCCGGGGCGGTACATAGAAATCGGCATAAAATCCATTTTTTTAATTTCCAACTTACAACTGTCTTGGTCCAGGTGAAATGATTAAAAACGACGCTGGTCTGCAAATTTTATGCAATGTTTGTGTTCTTCTTCCGTGAAAAAACAAGCTGGCAATTGATCGAATATTCGAGAAGGGTGAAGGAAAAACTGGGGGGTATAACCCTAAACTCGCGGTTTGATTGGCTACATTTCTATCGCAGAAGTAATTTTAGAATCGCGTCTACGTGACTGCGTAAAAAGAACAAACGGAGTTATCTCGCATGTTCTATTTTCTGAATGAACAAACTTGTACGGTTCGTTTAATCAATAAGACAAGGCCATAGCCCCTGTTTACAGCAAAAATCATACATATAAGGATCAAAATATGTTTTGGTTCATTATTACTTTATTGGAACATAAACCAAAAATACACTGTTGCTGAATCAATAAAAAATGTACATGGATTTCAATTTTTTAAAAGTCAAAAAATGTTTTTATAAGCAATTTAAATAGAAAGTGTTAAAAAAAAATATATATAGCTAGCAAGCGGGATTCAAATTAATCAGTCCTTTTAACACTAATCATTATTGATTACCATTACTTTAAAAAATAAATTAAACAAGTTTTAGTAATATTTCATTAATTAATTATTTTAATTTAAGTTCTGACTTGACTTATTTAAACGAAAAATATTTTTCTCAGTTAATTTATCTAGCAGAATATTTTTTTTTTTTTACTTTTAAAACAAACTGTGGTCGACGAGTAAAATATTTTTTGGTTTGAATCATTTGTAAAGGAAGGTACTTTTGCCCAATTTCAGTTGAAAATTTGGGGGGGGGGTTAAATGTGGACCTAATCCCCCCCCCCCCTAATCCTTTGCTGCGCACGCTCTTTAGAGTCATCTACTCCTACTGGGACACCTTTAAAAGTGCAGGTCTATATATAACTTTTGGAAAGTCCAATAAATCTACCCACAGTTAATTTTCTTTAAATGGAAACTGCAGTTTCAAACAATAAAAGTAGCGTATACATACAGGGTGTCCCAAAACATATGTTACACTTTTAATCATATACAACTTTATCAAACCAAAAGCATTCACACAGATATTTTGTCAACAAGAAGTGTATTAGCATAAATTTTATTTGACAAACTTTTGAGAAATTCTATAAAAAATTAAGGTAATTATGATGACCTTATCACGTCATCATATTTTTTTAAATATGGAACCTTCATGTGAACAGCTGGAAGAATTTGTAAAACTTTACTATGGGTCTAAATCTTCTACTTTAGTCATTAGAACCATGAGAAAACAACATCCTGTAATGAAATTACTCAACAGAATACTAATCTACAAATTTGTGAAGGAGTTTGAAATGACACATGACTTAATTCTGGTATTAGAAGACCAAGGGTGCCCATACCACAGAGAACATTAATCTCATTGATAGAGTTATTACTAAAACTTTACAATAATCCCTTAGACGGGTCCTGTATTAACAAGATAGCACCTTTAATAAGTCTAGTGTCCATTAAATACTCAAATTTACATTAAAATTGATTTCTTACAAGATAAGTGTAATGCAGCATTTGAAAGAGACAAAAACTAGAAGTTATTTTGGGTTTGCCCACTGGATTTTAATTACACCCGACCCTGAAAAATTAACAGAAGCATGATTTTCTGATGAAGCCCACTTCCATTTGAACAATGTTTTAAAGAAAATCTTAAATTCTGTTATTTGGTGAAATTCAGTTTTAATGTGGAAAACCATCCAAACTGTTAGAATGTTACATTTAAGCTATATACATTTACATATATAAAAAAAAACAAACAAACATCAGAAATCCTGTTCAAACATGTTAATTCAAAAGGACATCATTTGGAAGATGTTGTAAAATTACATATGTTATTTCAAAGAAAAATATTGATAATAAATAAGGAAACTGTGACACATGTTTGCTTGACAAAAAATATAACAATTTTTATTATGTATTTTAAATTTCATCCATATAACTTGAGGTACAATATAAAAGTGTAACATATGTTTTAAGACACCCTGTATGAGTATCGAAAATGGTTGCGTATGACAGGACATTTGTAATTAAACACTGCAACTGTTTCCGATGGTTTATAATTTATCATTGAAAAAACATATAATATACAAATATAATGGTATAGGATTATTTCCTCACCCATTTGCAACAGCGAATTTGCTTTTAAGTAAGTGAAGCTGAATGGCTTTAAAATGTATAAAATAAATAAATAAATAAATAAATAAAATAAATAAATAAATAAATAGACAAGGTGAGAAGCTTAAAAAAGTATTAGGTAATGATTCAGTCTGCATAATAAAACATACGAATCAGAAGTTATCTGAAGTGAATTCAAAATAATTCAATATGCAATTGTTTTTTTTTTTTTTTGGTTTTTTTTTTAACTTAATTTGTATCTTATTTTGCATTGTTTGTTTTTTTGTAATTAATTTCAATTTATACTTTATCAATTAAAAATCCGAACTGTAGTCATTAATTATAAATTCTTTATATATTCATTAGAGAGAGAGAGAGGGAGAGAGAGTAGGTCAATCTCCAAGGTCTAGATCAAAGGGTCTAAGGTCTTGTTATCAAATAAAAGGTTTTGTCACAAGGATTAAATATGTAAAGTATGAAAGCAGTAGCCCTAATCCTTGAAAAGTTACGGTCAAAACTACGTGGAACTCTAAGCTCAAAGCGACAAAGTTCTTGGTATGGAATGAAAGGTCTTTTCACAAAAATTACATATGTGAAGTATGAGATCACTAGCCTTTAGCGTTCAAAAGTTATGGCAAAGATTAAAAGTTTTTCAGTAGTACAAAATTGTCCAAGGGCAAGGTCAAAAGGTCAAGGTAATTGGTATTCAATGAAGTGTCTTGTCACAAAGAATACTTATGTGAAGTATGGACACCCTAGTCCTAACCGCTCAGACGTTATGGCCAAGGTTAAGTAATTAAAAAAGTAGGTCAAACTTCAAGGTCTAGGTCAAAGGGTCAAATGTTCTGCTATCAAATGAAAGGTCTTGTCACAAGGACTAAATATGTAATATGTCTGTCTGTCTGTCTCTCTGTCTGTTTGTCTGTTTGTCCACAAAAACATTAACCTTGCCCATAACTTTTGACGAATGGAGCTATGACTTTCATATTTCACATGTGTTTTCCTTGAGACAAGACCTTTCTTTGGATACCACCAAATTTAATCTTTTGAACTTGACCTTGGAGTTTGACCCACTTTTACACAAAAATTCCAAACTTTTACTTTTGCCCTAATTTTCAAACAGTAGATACTAGGAATTTTATATTTCAAATAGCAAATCTTTTGTGGCAAGACCTCTCATAGATTACCAACAACTTTGATCTTTTGACCTTGACTTTGGACTCCGTACTTACGAAAAAAAATTATCCTTGGCAATAACTTTAGAACAGTAAGGGCTAAGGCTTTCATACTTCACATATGTAATCCTTAAGAGAAGACCTTTCATTGAATATCAATAACTTTCACCCTTTGACCTTGACCTTGAAGTTTGACCTACTTTTTAAAAACTTTAACCTTGGCCATCACTTTTGAACAGTAACGGCTAGAACTTTGAACCTTTGACCTTGACCTTGGAGTTTGACCTACTTTTTACAAACCTTAACTTTGATCATAACTTTTGAACAGTAAGTGCTAGAGCTATCATACTTCCCATCTGTAATCTTTGAGACAAGGCCTTTCTTAAGAAACCAACAACACTGACATTTTGACCTTGACCCCAGGGTTTGTCCTACCTTTAAAAACGATAATCTTTGTTAAGGTGTTATAACCTTTAAACAGAAGGTGCTAAGGTTTTATATTTCACATTTGCATTTCTTGTGAAAAGGCCTTACTTTAGGTACCAACATATTTGATCTGCATTTGAGAAAGCTTAAGCTTCTCTATGTTGCCATACGGGGCATCAGTGTTTCACAAACACATCTTGTTATATATTGGCAACGATGTCGGTGCAGAAGTTCATCTGCCACTTCTCTCGTCCATAAGTCAATATTAATAGGGGGTTATTATGTACAGTTAACTGCTTTTTATCTGTTTATTTTTTTCCCGAAGCGACAAAGCGAATATTAATTAAAAAAAACAAAAGAAGTTTCAGCATTCGTCGTCCACGTAAAATCCGATTTAAAGAGAGAGACATTTGTAAATTTATCTGTGTGCCTCGGAGAAGTTTTAATTCTTATTCCATCGCCACCCCCGTCCTAGGAATTTATCAATTAGTGCCTGCGACCTTAATCACTCTAATGTCACTTATATCCCGAGGTCCCGCCGACACGGTTTGTACGTACCGTTTATAAGCAGCTAAATGTCGAACCCGATATAAATATGCTGAATCAAGATGCAACAGAATCAATATTATGAAGACCCTCTAAGACATTTGTACTTTGTCTTTTTCTGTTTGAGGAATATAAATCTCGTGTATGTGTGCAGTTGTACCCGCATCTAAATAGACGGTCGGATTCCTTTTTCAAGGTGGGTAGTTGGTGCTTGCTGTCTTGCTCTTCATTGTGAATAAAAACAAGCTAATTCAGAGAATTCGTGTCCCCCGCTTAGGGAAAAAGTCGGCTCCCCCTGACTGAATTTGTAGAATTATTAAATGTATACATGTATACTGAAGGAAATAAAATACATGTATGTCAATATGCATATAAAGATTTGATTGCTTATTCTTTATTATGTGAATAGAAGATTTTTTTATATGGAATATTTATCACACTGTAATGATGATTTTATGACCTCATAAATTTTTCATTTCACATGCTGAATACTATCATTTAGTAAAAAAAAAGTACTTTTTTTTCACACTTGAAGCGAGAGACATAACCACCAGACCACGGAATATTACATGGTGTGAAGAAAAAACTGAAGTCACATACAGGTATATATTCATGTTTTCGTGTTCGGTATTCTCAAAATTTTACACAATCCATGGTGTTTGATTTATTTAGCCTTTATTAAACAGTTTTAATAGATGTAATAGAAATTCCGCCGAGAACCTGTTTTATGTGTGCCCCTGCGCTAAAAATAGCGACATGTAATACTATAAATACTAATAAAACAAACGGGGCGGGGCACTTTGAGAGGGGCGAGAGACGTCCTAGGGAGTTTTGGTATAAAATTACATTGCATAATCTCCAAATCTTCTTGAAATATCGCCCGGAAATGATAGTGTTACACACAGACAGAATGTATAAATTTACGACCTTGAACTTTGACCTTTTGACCTCAAAATCAATAGGGGTCTTCCTTAGGCCACAGGGAGTTGTTATATAAAATTTCATTGCAATAGCTCAAATGGTTCTAGAGATATCGTGTGGAAACGAAAGTGTTTTAACAGACAGAAATTGCTTATTTATGACCTTGACCTTTGACCTTTTGACCTCAAAATCAATAGGGGTCTTCTTTAGTCCATAGGGAGTTGCTATGCTAAATTTCATTGCAAAAGCTCAAAGGGTTCTCGAGATATCGTTTGGAAACGAAAGCGTTACAGACAGACAGAAAGACGGACGGACGGACGGACAACGGACAAACCCAAATTAATATCCCCCACTTTTCAAGCGGGGGACAATTAGATAGGGTTTTATATTGCACTGAAGAATATGACATCAAAACCTTTGGAGATGAGAGGATTAGGTAGGGGCGTGGATGGGTGGGGGTGTCGAAAGATAATGTATAAACTTGTTGTCCACCGCTTGAAAAGTGGGGGATATAATAAATCTCTTGTATGTGTGTCCGTCTTTCTGTCTGTCTGTAACGCTTTCGTTTACACACGATATCTCGAGAACCCTTTGAGCTTTTGCAATGAAATTTAGCATAGCAACTCCCTATGCACTAAAGAAGACCCCTATTGATTTTGAGGTCAAAAGGTCAAAGGTCAAGGTCATAAATAAGCAAATTCTGTCTGTTAAAACACTTTCGTTTCCACACGATATCTCTGGAACCATTTGAGCTATTGCAATGAAATTTTACATAACAACTCCCTGTAGCCTAATGAAGACCCCTATTGATTTTGAGGTCAAAAGGTCAAAGTTCAAGGTCGTAAATTTATACATTCTGTCTGTGTGTAACACTGGATATTTCAAGAAGATTTTGAGCTTATGCAATGTAATTTTATACCAAAACTCCCTAGGACGTCTCTCGCCCCTCTCAGAGTGCCCCGCCCCGTTTGTTTTATTAGTATTTATAGTATTACTTGTCGCTATTTTTAGCACAGGGGCATATATTATTGCGTATAAAACAGGTTCTCAGCGGACTTTATGTTCTTATTACATCTACTAGAACTGTTTAATAAAGGCTAAATAAATCAAACACCATGGATTGTGTAAAATTTTGAGAATACCGAACATGAAAACATGAATATATACATGTATGTGACTTCAGTTCTGCATATACTTCACACTTTGTAAAGCGACACCGTGGTGTAGTGGTTATGTCTCTCGCTTCAAATGTGAGAGGTCCCGGGATCGATTCTTGGTCGGTCCGTTTTTTTAAATTTTTTTTTAAATACCCTTTTTTTTTTTTTTTACTAAATGATAGTATTCAGCATGTGAAATGAAAAATTTATGAGGTTATAAAATCATCATTACACTGTGATAAATATTCCATATAAAAAAATATTCTACACATAATAAAGAATAAGCAATCAAATCTTTATATGCATATTGACATACATGTATTTTATTTGCTTCAGTATACATGTATACATTTAATAATTCTACAAATTCAGTCAGGGGGAGCCGACTTTTTCCCTAAGCGGGGGACACGAATTCTCTGAATTAGCTTGTATTTGACATGGGTTGGTAAAAGTTATTTATTTACTTTGTGGACGACAACAATTATTTTAGATTTACATGTATATGTACTAAATAAGATACAAAGTATACAATGTACAAAAAGAAAATCCTCCAAAGGCTATAAATAATTAAACTTAATCATGGTAATTTATACTTATTAAAATTAAAGAAAACTTAATCAAAGTATGAACAAAGAAATTACATGCATAAAGGTATATTTAGTTTGAGAATAAGGAGAACAGTGGGATAGGATTGTGTCTCCACCTACACCCCACCCCAGTTCTCTCTAGATCCGCCTAGGCTCTTTGGGGTCATTTATCCCCGTAAGGACACTTTCTAAAGTAGAACTTTTTAAGTCCAATAAACCCATCAATTGTTTGCAACAAATGAGAATTTCGTAATCGAAACGCCATTTTCAAACAATAAAAGTAGCGTGTATGAGTGTCATAAATCGCGCTCCTTGGCGATATTGAGCCGGTGAAGGAGCAGTCGAGTGCGCCATTAATGGTCTTAGTCAACAAAAAATCGCTCGTAGCCCCGTACTGAAAGCCAAATACAGAAACTTGTAGTCATCCGACTAACCCGAAACCAGGACCGAGGCTGAAAGTTTATAAATCGCATAAGCGTTAGAAATGACTTTTTATTGACTCTGCTTCTCCGAGAGATGAATGACAATGGGTATATAACTGACGGATGACTTAACAGAGGGAAATTAAATCCGAATGGAATAACAGGCCTTTAAAGAAAGTCAATGTTGATTGATCAGAAAGCGCGGGTATTCCAGCGAGTTAACTTCCCGCACTCTATATTGTTTGTGAATTAATTACTGATATGAAAACATTTGCTTTGTGAGTTAAGATATGTGCGTAATGAGATATGTACATGTTAAATTTGAATCGAAAAGGAAACGCTCAGTGCTTGGTCTTTGGAAATGAAGGTAAACGCATATTATTCCTTTCATTCAATTTTGTATCAAATTATAAATTTTGTTTAATCTTTAATTAAAATGCATGTGCAAATTACAATGCACGGACAGGATTTTCTCGTCAATTTTACATGCGATATGAAACTTTTGGGCCAGATATGTATTTGAAGCGGAGGTGGTTAATTATCTCCATTGAATTTGACAAGAAAAAGTTATTAAATGTCCGAGTAAATCAATCAATCATTTATTTGAATCTCATCACCATTTTACAATAGCGTACAGAGACTACAAAAAACATATAAGTGATTTTATATACAACAATAGGTCTAGAAAGGCATGCGTGAGTAAGAAACTTAACAAAAACAAAAAAATTGTAGGTTACTATAAATGTGAAGTATGGGAATTTAGTCTGATTTACAAAAGAAGTTCGCCTATCGAGACCTAATGTAATTTTGCAAATTGATATTTTTTTTTTTACCAGAGCTTAATTAGCCATTTTTGGTCCAGGGTCCTGTACCCTTACAACTGGGAATTTTTAACTGAAAAAAGTAGCAGAACTAGCATGGAGATGTTAGATATAACTCTAGCTGCAGATCTGTAGCTCTCCGAAAAAAATATAATGACAGACCGTCTATCAATATAATTTGGAGAAAAAGCTAATATAATTTTTAAGTTTGAATGTTCAATAAAGAGTTACGTGTACTTTGAAGCTTAAGTTTTATTTCTTATTCGCATCTTAATTATTCATCAAAATCTCAAATTTTAATATTATTTAATTTAAAGCACATTAAATCTGCACGCTTAATTATAAGGTGTTCAATGTATTAACGACCATATTTTGTACCCAATAAAGGTATGGTCATATATTTTACATGTAAATCATGGTAGCATCTTAAAGATGTTATAAGATAAAAATGCTCCACAGAAGGAATTTACAAAATGTTGATTATTGCCCAATTAATGGCACAATGATTTTTACATTAAAGTCTATGGACAGTGCATATTTTTATAAGATATTTCAAAAAGTAATTTGAACTTTAAACAAATCTCTTGGTGAAAATATGTATAAACTTTTTCTTTATTCAATTATGAAAAAATGAATTATTTACCGCAGAAATTTTGAGAAATTTTAAGAATTATCCACTTTCTATCAAGGGCAGATAACTCTTCAAAAACTTTAAATGTGCAAAATGACGGTCTTCTTACGTGTTATCAGACATGTTAATTTGGTTTATTTCACTTTTATCAGTATCAAACAGAATGATATTTTAATCAATGCAATTTTAAATGAAATCATTGATTTTGCAAGACTTTATAATCAGTTTATTATTTTATTATTCTCTGCTCGGCTTTAAGTTGATGATTATCTAGAAACAACACATTGTTGGTGTTTAATGTCAAGAAAAAAAGCTTGTAATTATTCTGGGTCGATTGCGTAATGTTAGATGCCGGCAGGTGGCCTTCTGCTGAAAAGAAGCTTGTCATAAACCGGATATACGACATTTTGTATAGATGTCAAGATAACGCACAAATCTCGCAAGGTTCGAGAGAACACGAGAAACAGCATTTCCTTCGAGTTGTCAATTCTTTTATTTATTTTTTAGCAAGCTTAGTTACAAAATGGAATCACCTAACAATAGCATGTTATTTTTTTACGATATTTCCGTACTAATAGGCGCAGCTGGGGTCCATTTCTGGATTTGAAAATAGAACCGACATTTTCTGACATTCTGCCTCGGATTTGGTCAACACTTCTTCCAGAGTGCCTCTGACGGTAGCTGCATTTTTACACGGGGTCACAAGGAACATTTATAAAACAGCCCCTCCCTCACCAAACCGGCAACAAGCAGAAAAGAACCCCAGGATGGCTGTTACAGTATCCTCCCCCCGGCGACCCTCAAGGTAAGATATCTTAATTTCTGAATTTTTAAGGGGGAAGTGTGTGTGTGTGTGGGGGGGATGAGAGTTGTAAGCTACAAATTCGATTAATGTTACTGATTTTTTTTTTCACTTCAAGTTTATATTTCATTGATTGATATCCTTGGCCATATTAGTCATTTTCATGTTTGAGATGTGTGTTGTGTGTTCACTCAAGATTACCACCTGGAATTAAGGCCAATGAATACTACATAGTACTAACCATCTAAACAGATTTTTGAAAAAAAAATTACAAAATGGGCGTCGATGTCGTTTAAGAACACACACTAACATAGATATGAACTTGTGTAATTGATTTCATTGCCCCCCTCTTTCCTTGTAGGTTGGGGATATTGAATTCGGTCGGTCTGTCCCTCCGTATTTTATTTCTGCCAGTAACACTTTCGCTTTTGTACTGTATTTCGCCAACTTTGAATTTTACAATGAATGTCGACAAGACAATTCTTTATGGTCTAAAAATGACCACTTTTGATTATAAGTCATAAACTCAAAAATTTCCATCTGTGTTTTTATACCTTGGTTTCCGCGCAATATATCGCAATATATCGATGAAGCCTTTCAGATTTGAAAATGTTATGAAATGAAATGTTATACCAAAACTCCCAATAGCCAAAGGATTTTGAGGTCATAGGTCAAGGTCGTAAACTCACTATGACCCCTCAAACTAGATCCGCTCATGCTCTTTTATTTTCCTCCTTATAACTGGGAGACACACATTCTCTGAATACGCGAGATTCGAGATTGTTAGTCTCCTACGATAGAGGCGCAAAAAGCATCCATTTGCGCCAATCGCATCATCTCGATTCTTTCCGTCAGTCGGATTTATTAACGTCACCGGATGTTAAAAAGTTTATACATTTTCTGTTTATTCAAGTATAGGATAGATGGAGTTAGAAGTCCCTTCTATAGTATATTTCAGGTAAAATCATTACATTGAATAAAGTTCATTAACCAAATAATCCACAGATAAAAGTCTCCATGCATTTATTTCAAAGATCGTGAAAAGAGGGGTTTTCATGACGCCTACAAAATACATTCGAGGTTGTTCTTCCGTTAGCCGGAAAGGTCTAAGAAGTTGCGATTGCCATTTTCGCAGAAATTTCTCACCAGAGGGCGTATTACACTTCGCTGGAACGATAACTCTGGGTAGAAATTGTTTTCGCGGAACCCCCACCCCCTACCCCCGTGAAATAGCGCACAAAGGGAGAAAATTTCGAAACTTGCGTAAGCGTGTCAGTTTTAATTAGAACCATTCCCAGGTAAGCTTGGACTTTCAGTAAGGCGTGGCATTCTCAGCACTACGTAATAAGCGTCTGTCAAATGGCGAACAGATTCTCATTGGTTAAGAAATTAATAACACCATGAACTTTTAATAATTGTTATTGACATCAATGGGACAACATACATGTAAGCTCCACCTCTTTGCCGGACGAGACAATGTTATTGATTATTCAATACACTAATTGGCTTTTGTTCGAATTTCTATCCCATGTATATATTTCAACAGTGAACAAAAGCTGTGTAAAGTTCAGAAGCTAATTATGTAACGTCAAGAATGCCACGCCTTACTGAAAATCCAAACTAAGCGTGAAATGGTTCTACTCTATAAATGAACAATTTCCAAAACTTGAATATCATCTTACATATGTATACATGTATATAACATCTATAAAATTTAATGCACTAATTTTACACGTTTTCTAATAAATAAGCGACTTAGTCTTACGAGTATCCGTATCGTGGGGTGAACATATAACCCGTATAACATGTAAACTTAACCTGGAACTATGTAAAGAGAGATGTCAAATAGGGGCCTTTGAATACGTCCGTCAGAGTAAATCGTAAGAAAGGGAAGAAAAAAGATATAATAAAATGTTTATGTTACGTGATGAAAAAATACAGAAGATTTAAATATAAAAAAGAAAGAGAGAAAAAAGAGAGGGAGAAAGAGAGAGAGAGATAGTATTCCTATGCGATTCGTTGGCATAGCCCATATCAGTGCAAGAAATGCATGTGTGGAGTTAATGTCTCTCTGATGTACATATAGGTGTCATTTATTCTCCTAAAAATGGAATAAAATAGTACAAGACTGGAAATGTTTCTCATATTGAATTCTGATATATGAATCAGCGAACTGATTGCTTTAAAAAAAAAAATTGCTGCATTGTTTCATCTTACAATGTACCTAGTGAATCATATACTATTAGACGTTTTCGAATTATTTGTGTTCTGGGCGTGTTTGATCTTCTTGCACCTTGCAACAATGGTCCAGTCCAATTAATCTCTTTGTGTTGACAGCTTCTAATGATTCGGTTAATTTTTCCCGAGTTATCACCTGATTTTATACAATTCTGAGGTGTGATAAAACTGTAAGTAATAATTCCTGCTTTATGGCGCGGTGCTGTACGTCAGGTGCGCGCCGATTAAATCCCGCCATTATCAAACAGAGAAGAAAATGATGTAATTCCTAAATGAAGGCATCCATTTAAAGATTAAAACATTTTTTGGTATGTTTGCTAACGAGAACTTCAAACCCCAACTTCTGTTCAATAATCGAGTGGACACTTAGAAGGAGTTCTGCTTTAATGACCAAACTTGCGTGTGCCGCTAATTACATCTTCAGACTCATTTTCCCCTTCGGTGATTTTTTTCCGAGAATTTCCTTTAATTTCCAGGATTCATCACGTGACAAGGTAAAGTTTTCCAAGATTCCGGGGCCTTATAACTGTAGATAGTGAACTAGAAGTCAAACCGCAATACTGTAGGAGATCTAGAATTGCAGAGAACGGGACATATTTGTTTTTCTCTAAAATTAAGAATCGGTATTAAATCTTGTTGTCATGGTAGCGGAATGTTCCGGTCTCTCGTATCGGAGTTACTTCCCCTGCTCCCGGTCCCTGAATAAGGATTTCGTGAAACCCGGAAATGCATTTCAAGTAGGGTAAGTTTAAAGCACATCAGCAGTCTCTCTCTCTCCCCAAATAGAAGAGAGTAAGTGAATTAAGGTAATACTAAACCTCATGTAGTATTTTTTGTTAAGCAAGAGGAATACTCTATTTCCAAGCTTTCAATTGAAATAAGGGAGGGGTGGCAGTAGGAGGGAAATTTCTTTTCTATCGTTAACTTTGGAATTTTTCGGATGGTACCCACACACAAGCATACAAAATCTACATGAAATATTTTGAGTTCATAATTTTTAGTCGAAAAGTATTGATACAAGTGTATTTTAAGTAAAATCACAAATCATTGCACAAAGAATTTTTAAAAAGATGGTAAAACTGCATTCGACGAAAAACTCCAATCTATATCTCACTTTCTCTGTGTCCTTTTTCGGTCTGTCTATATCCCCCCTCTCTCTCTCTTTATCTCTCTCGTTGTGTGCCTGTGTGCCTGTGTACCTTGTCATACAGAATGATGCTACAAAATGAAGGCAGGGCGAGCGAAAATGACTGCGAACATGAATCTTCGTTTGATTTTGATTTATGTAAAGGATCAGGAGATTTGTTGAATTCTGATGGAGAAACGATCAACAAAAAATGGACTTATTACGTCACTTCTCTACATTGTGTTCTCCTGCTCCATCACAATGACATCTCTAGTGGCGATTTATTGTGATAAGGTCCCACTTTATCATCCGTATCTTTAATTATTTTCTGGAATCAACCCATTCTTTGTTATTTAATGCGAGTCATGGTCAATAGACTTTATTCTGCTACATTAATTTTGCAAATAAATCAACTTTTTTTCTCGGATTACGTCGGGGTATGGAACAATCGACGATTTATTCTTTATGACGATAAACTCTGAACAGATTCCGATAACAAACAATACGTTAATTTCTTCTGAGATTAGATCTGAAGACGAGGTATATTTATGTTTGTTGAGACACTTCTAAAAATGAAGAAAAATACAATGACACGCAACAGTAAAATTAAGCTTTCTTATACCTAATCAGAGTTAAGAATGAACGACATTTATGGTGATTGATAAATATTGAATGATTTAGCGCCAGACTACATGTAGTAAATTTTGCTGCTTTCGAAATATTGCAAAAAAAAAAAATAAATAAATAAATTTTAAAATACAAGTTTAATGTTTACATGTAAAATTATATATACTTTTTCGAGGGTTTTTAATATGGAATCAGTTCGATTTCTTTCGCACAAAGAAATTTATGTGTGTGTTATGTGTTTTTTTAACCTTTGAACACCCTTATGGGGAAAATGAAGTTGATATAATTAGGTTCTTCTTTTTCTCATTCAAAAATGATAGATATAAACAACATTTTGATAAAAAAAAAAAAAAAAGAGAGAAAAAAATTATTTATTCATTATTATTTTTTATTTGATTTTTTTTTTTTTTTTTTTTTTTTTTTTTGCAAAAATGGGGTTCGTGAATGATGAGCTACAGTCAGTTTTTGTTTTTGTGTTTTTAAAGTATAGTCTAAAGCATGCAAACTACAGTAATATTGTCATAACAAACACACAGGCCGATAAATAAAACAAAGTCCAGGAACGACAACTCTTTTTTTTTCTAAGCGATAGTAAAGAAGCAAGAGTTAAGGGACTTGATTTCTCTGTTCTATCTACATGGGCAGACGGAATGTCATTCGATCAGTGCTTTGGTTTGTAACTTCTCTCTCTCTCTCTCTCTCTCTCTCTCGTGCGCGCATCTCTCTCTCCCTCTCATTAAAAACCTGGGGGAAATTTTACGACTTTAACTTGTATTGCATTGTTTAAAGTGAAGTAAAATAAGAATGAAAAATTGGATTCTTCTCCCATCCCATTGACGCGATGCATATTCATAAGTATCTGTTTACAATAGAAACTGATGTTTTATTCATCTTTTATTTAATCATAAAATGCTGACTATCGATTGCTTCTAAAGTTAATGTAAATTATGCATCAAAGAGTTCATTAAATGTCGCTTCTTTGGCGGAAGTGCATAAAATTAATTTAATATTG